GTCAGATGATCGTCTTCCAGCACCCAACCTTGCTGATATTGGTTTGCAAACCAGAAACCCCTGAGAACACCCAGGTTGGATCAAAGTCTGGTTTGGCAGGTGCAGCATTCGTGCAAAGCTGCAGTGCTCCTCAGAATCCTCTCTTCTGCTCTCCTGCAGCTCTGGAGTTGATCCCTTCCTTCCCCTCCCCAGGGAGTTTTTCCTATCAGCCAGATTATGTTATTAAATCAGATGCTCCGGACACACAAAACTTTTTAAACTTCATCTTTCCATAGCAATGCAGCTAACAGTGCAGTCCTGGCTTCACAGCGCAAGCCATGTTCGTATAAACTCTAAGTCCTCCGGGCCTGATTCACCCCCTATTATCGCCTTGTGCAATGGAGTGATGCTATCGCAGTTGAAAGAGTGGCACAGGTATAAACCAAGATTATCTCCATCAACCAATGGCATTACACAGGCGCAGAAACAGTGGGAGAAGAAACGGTTTAATTTCTAGAGCCTGCAGCCCCTGAAATGTAATCTCATTTAATCCCATTTGCAGGTGGAAGAGGCTAAAACTGGCACCACCAAATTATAATCCTACATTTGCCCCCACAGTAAGTCGTATTATGACAAGCCTAATTAGTAATATTTAATAGATGCCTCAAAATCAGACTTACCCAACTCACCAGTGAAGCAATGAATCAATGCAAAGACAGGGTAAGATCTGGGGAATATAGTCTTATATAGTCTGGGAGCCCTGCCTCCCAGGAAAACGGGCCTGTACGGTACATGGTGTTGGCATTTTTTGTAGCGCCAGAAGTGTCCAATTCACAGAAACTTTTTTTTTCTTGTCCTTTAGGAGAGAAAACTCCCTGTTCTTAGGCATTTTCTATTTTAGCAGCAGAAGGCTGTTGTGTTGGCCACACATGAAGCATGAAAGCCCCTTTTTATTCAGACATTTTTCAAATGCTCTGCTTCAAAACCCGATGGCTTTGGTCCTGCCTAAAAATAACAATGAAAATAATGCAGGTGGCAAATACACACTGAAAATTTCAGATGTGGGGCCTGAATCTCAGGGACATTCAAGGCCTTTTCTGCCTATTTTGGAAGGATAAAGCGCACTTAATCTGAATGTAGGCATTCCCCGGAGAACCTCCCCATTGCACAGGGCACCTGGCCAACCTCTGTGCAGTTGATATTGCAGCAAGCTACATTTTGTTCTCTCCCAAGGTGCGCAGGGAAGCCTGAAACACGGCCTGGCACCCTCGCTGCTCCCTGTTCTCCAGCCGCAGTGCTGCAAACTTGAGCACAAACTTAGGACGACCCCTGGGCTGCTCTACTTTGAGAGCGTACATGGTAGGGTATTGGCTAGAAAAGGCTGATTACAGGCTTAACTCCAACAAGTCCATTCCTGAGCTTGGTGCGTGAATGAAGCAATTGAGAACTGGGCTCTTTGATGTGCTGACTGCCTGCAAAATGTTTCTGTTGTGCCCAGTGGGTTTTCAATGAGGCAATCTGTTCTGCCTGAGAAGCACGGTAACGCAGCAGAAGCAGTTAGGACTAAATTTAGGCTAGGAATTAGGACAAGACTGCCAAGAAGCAGAGCACGGAGACTCTGCAACAGACTCCTAAATCTGAGAATCAGGGGCAAAATGCGTAACAAGTTTTAAGATGGAGATCAGTAAATTTATCGAAGAAGTTATGTAACTTTGAAATCGCAGTAGCCAACCTTAACTGAGTAATTCTGCCATGTCTGTCTCTTGAGAGTCGTCAAGCTAATTCACTGATACAGGCTTAACATGAAGCCTCCTGGTTAATGTATTACAGCAAAAAAAAGCAGAGGAATCACTTACAGAATAGCAGGCAGAAAAAATATTGAAGCATCCTAAGAGTCCTGTCTAGCTCCTCTGTTAGCCAACTTGCCAAGGTGGCCCCTGGACATGCCAGTGCATGGCCGTCCTCGGAGGTGACCGGCTCCTCTTCTCCTGTAACGTGACTTGACCCTTGGAGCCTCCTGTGCTAGGAGAACGACACAGTCCTGGCAGGCAGACAGACCGATACTAGGAAATTCAGTAACAGGTAATTATGTCTTTTGTCTCGTGAGTGAGATGAGTTAATCAAGGTGTCCACCCTAAAGCGATGAGAGATAATAATGAAGAACAGGATGGGGTGTTAACGAAACAGTGTCTAATTAAGCCATCAGGGCGAGCCATGTCTTAGGAGATCCAGTTCGGCAACTTCTGAATTACACCAAGACGTAAGATCCAGGAGTGTAATATTTTCCTCAAATCATTTTCTTTGGGCACAAAGGTTTAAAGTACTGGAGAGGGAGAGAAATGAAGGAGCATCCTTGCAGACATGAGGCCTGGATTGCAGCGAGCATTCCACATCCCAGGCCAAGAATCTCAGCAGTGGCCTTTTCTTCTAGAAATCTCATCCTTTTTCTTCAGATTGAAGCAATATAGCAGGCAGAGCTCAGGATCCTTAGAGATGTGGAGACGCTCATCTTATCTCAGTCATAAGTGAGATAAGGTAGACAGCTACAGATCTCCATACAAGGCTGCTAGCGTAACTGGAATTAGTGGGATAAATTCGGTATGGACTCGGAGAAGAGCCATGCTCTGCCAGATGAGAGCCAGGAGCTCCACGTGCACTGTGAAGTCACCCTCCTCGATGCACGTTTCTCCCGTAGTTCCTCACATGTTTGAGTAAGACAGGTTTCACTGCATAGGGTATTTGCCTCTAAAAATAGTCTTTGTGCAGTTCACATGGAAGGGGAAAGCAATTACACCTCTGCTATGGGAAAAACAATCGCTCCCTTTCCACGGGCTGACTTCAGAGCCGCTTCCATGATAATTACCATCATTTTTCTGCTGAGGTTCCTGACTTGCAGGTGAAGTGACCTCCCCAGGCCTCTGCAGACCTGGATCCCAAACAGGGCTTAAGATCAGGACGGCCCCACCTCCTGATCTCCAGACAGGGCTCAGGTCATCTCCCTTCCAGCTATGGAAAGTGATTTTCTTTAATCACTAGGTGCTTCAAGTTGAGGCTGGAAATTTGGTGCCCAGAGTGTTAACATATCCCAGAAACCTGACTGCTTGCTTAAATAAAAGGAGTGTCTCAACACAGGGCTTTGACTGTCCAGCTCATAACCAGTCTCAACACCGGTCCACAAACGCTATGCGCCCTGTTGCTCTCAGGCACTCTAATTGATGGATGTAACAAAAGTTATTGAAGCTCTAACCTGAAGATGCACATTCCCTTCTTTTACTTGCAATATTTGATCTAATGAAATGCACAGCCTCTCCTCCCAAACCCTGCTGCTCTGGCCTCTTTAGGCCAAAAAGGTGCAATAATTATAAAACACGAGTTTTTTCTTCTCTGAGTTTGAGTCTGAGCTTATTCTCCCTCCTTTCTGCTTTGAGGAACGCAAATCTCAGCAGAAAGGCTATTTTGATAATGGTAAAGCATGATTCTACCTAGAAAGCAGATGGGCAGGTTCTCCGCGGCTGGAAAGTGTCCTAGTTCCTGCCTTCAGCAGAGCTGTGGCTGCAGTCGGCATCAGCAGAAAAGTAGTCACAGCCAGCATAGGTGAGGCCTGAGTCAGGAGTAGGTCTTGGCTGCACTACTACCCCTCTCTAACAAAGGCTGGAAATTAAAACTAAGCAGCTTCCAGAGGCAGCCAGGTAGGCAGCGGTGCAGGGCCCCACCTGCAGATGAGGCAAGAAAGGAAGTTGCAGGGATGAAGTCACACTATGGGAGAAGAAGACATGGTCTAAAATCCAGGTATCCTGCCAAATGATTATTAATAGAGGAAGTTACACCACAGCTAGAAACAGCTGCTGACATTTGCACCTCAGGAATCCCAACGTGCGGCGGGTGCCAGCTCAGCCTGTTGCAGTGATTGCACCTGCAGTGGGTGCTCTGATAAGAGCTCTGGTAAAATGCTTGAGACAAGACAAAGATAGTCCCAAATCAACCAAACATGATGAAATTCACCTCTGCGTGGGACGCATCGTCTCCACTGGTGAAAGTAATCCTACCATCACAAACGAGGACTGTCTGACTTGCGTACAAACAGCCCTTTGAGCTTTTTCAACGAGGACTGTCTGACTTGCGTACAAATAGCCCTTTTTGCTTTTTGGCGGGGGGAAGAGGTTGTTGTGCTTTTAATAGTAACTGAGCCATTTTCACTCCATAAAGTTTTTACATGGACTGATGCTAAGGGAATTCACTATGGCCCCTTTATTTCGCTGGTAAATTGTAGCATCTTTCCAAATGCTGCTCTGGTATCCAACCAAACCAGTGTCCCAATCCCATTTGGATGTGATAAATCTCATATACTTTTAAAAGTCCCTTTACTTTTCACATGATACATGGAGATAAATTCAGCTTCCTCCTCTGTCAAATTTGAATAGGCAGAAGCTGCATCCTCTGTACCGCAGGAAGTAGCATGCATGCAGAATAATCCATTCTGAAATGAAAGAATGAAAGCTATGGAGATCTTCCATATCAATGAATTAAAAAGCAGCTCCCCATGGGTTGACAGAATCACTGGAAAATCACTTCAGAGAACTCACTGATGAGAAGCAGGCAAGAGAAGTACAGATTAGTCCCCCTATCTTAAACTGCAAATACATCTTTAGAAGCTGGAACAAGAACATCAGCTGACATGAAATGACTCAGTTCCATGGACTGAAGTGGAGCTACCCTGGATTATACCATCCCAAAAACTCAGATTTTAGTGGGGTCTGTGAAGAAGGTATCAACCTGAGAGAATGACCTTTAATCACATTTTTTAAAAATTTTGTTAAGTCACATTAGTCAGAAAGGGGATTAAAATACTTCATATAACAAAAGCAGCCTCTTCACAATGCCTACGTGTAAAACAAGTCTGTGGAGGAAACACACAAATGCAGTTGTGAAAGAATGAGCTCATTACCTACGAGGACTCATTCCCAGAAGGCTGGGCTTTGAAACCATATAAAAGTTCTCAAATCTCCATGCTCCACCAACCACTTGACTTCGTGCATCTACCTGTTGGTCAACTGGGTAAGTTGAAGGATACTGATACTTCTTTTGTTATGTCTGTAATTTTACTGCTTGGTTTAATGTACGTGGACTCTTTACAGAAGTGATTTATTCAATAGCCACCTTTAAATATATAAAAGGTTCCTCCTGCAAAGATGAGAAACTGTGTGCATTGGGGTAGCACAAGCAGTCTTGGGATGACTCTGCAAGTCAAGTTCAGAAGGCTTGTAAATCTGAGGATAGTTAAGTGCTAAATTAGATCCTTTCTGAAGACGAGATTAGATAAAATTATATTGGTTTAAGTATAACCAATTCTGCTTTCAGAGAAGGGGACAGTCTAAATGGCCTCCTAAAGCTCCTCCTTTCTCTGTTTTCTATGATTCTGTGATTTATAACAAGAACATTTTTAAATCTTTGATTTAGTTGAAGAATTATTTTGTCAAAGGCATATTTGTGAGCACCAAGGGCTGCACAGAGCAGAAGGGTGAATATATTCCTGATGTGCTGTAACATTCAGACCAAACATGTCAACAACAATATACTAATTTGGCTCAAGATGTTATCAGGTTGTTATAAAGAAAATAGAAAGTGACACTTGATATCAAGCTGCAGGATCTAGAAGGATGTGGCAGAGAGGAATAACTTTGCTTTGAAAATGTGCTGAGAGGGGCAGGTGACCTGGAGAAGGCAGAACGCTCACCTGATCCATGCTGGTGGTAGTCCTGCATTGAGGGGACATTAGAAAGTCCCTTTCAACCAACTTTTCTATGATTCTAGCTTTTTATCTGTGTCCTTAGATTGTCTTTAGGAAAAAAGCGACACAGGAGACACAGCACCAGCCCAGGCAAGCCTGGTGCCTGCCTTCGGCAATGCACCAAAGAGAGGGAGCTTCATAAATTGTTAGGAAAATTCATTTGGCCTGTTGTACGTTCCTGGCCTTGGGAAAAGAAATCTCACCTGATTGTTCTGATTCATGCTAGCTCCATGGGTTATTAGTGGCCATGGGAATCCATGAGCCAAGGGCAGCATCACCACAGCTAATTCTTTCCATGACAGCTGGGAGGATGGTGCCACAGGTAACCTCCTCAGCCCATTGCCTTATCAGTGAAGTCAGAATGAAACCAGAGCAGGAGGAGCTGGCTTATCACGTTTGCTATAAACTCAATAACGCCAACCGTTTGCTTTGACAGATTACCCTGGGGGCCTTAGCAGCTCAGGTTTTAGAAAAATATAGTGAGAGAATAAGGAGTGAAATGAGGAGGGCAGAAACTAACCTGGACACCAGTTCCCACAGTAGCTGAATGTTTTACACCGGTTTCATTGAGTGATTCATTTAGAAAAGTAACCTCTAAGAGTTTGGAATAACACAAAACATTTTCAAACATTTCTATGCAAAGAAGTTTGGTTTTTCTATTTTAAATTATTTTTCATTCTTTAATTTTCCCTTAATTCCACATAAAATCTGAAAATTATTCTAAAATGGGCAAAGCCAAATGAAGTACTTCAGTTTTGTCAATGTGAAATACTCTGTTGGACCCAGATCTATATATTTTTCTACCTGTTGCTATGCCAAATGTTTTTAAATGCTTGCCTTCAGCAGTCATTATTTTTTGTTATTATCTTGACTTTCTGAAACGGCTATCAAACCAGCAGAGCTGTTATTTGCCAGCTCCTCTCATCAATTCTCTAGGAAAGAAATGAAAGGGAGTTAACACACTGGGAAGAGCTAAGCAACAGGAGGAAGAGCTCTGAAGTGCAAATCAGCTCCCAGTTCAAAGGAGAGACTCTGCCTTAGTGAGACCTGACAGGGCTGTCCCACGTTGCAGAACAGAAACGAGGAACGAGATAAGGCCGGGTGAGAGCAGGAACTGAAAGACAGGATGAAAAAGAAAGAAATAAATCATAATTCTTTCCATGCCAATCTGCTATGGAAAATTAAGGGCAAGCTAACTTGCAGATGATTCATGTTTCTTAGGCATTGTTTCGCCCTTCTCCCAACCCAGTTTGTTTAGCAGATGCAATAACGCTCTGATGTTTCTTTCAGATTATCTTGTTTCGTGCAAAGATGTCTGCACATCAAATGCAATGCAAACAGCCAACAACCCTCCCACCTGGCTTGAGTAAAATTACTTCAAAGCAAAGCCAAGAGCCTGTGCCATGCGCTGAGCCGGTACCATGTCCTCCACAGCAGCAACCTGAAGTCCAAATCCCAGTGCCATGCCCTGATCCAGTCCCCGTAGTAGTGGTACCGTGCCCAGAAAAAGCAGCACCGTTGGTGGAACCAGGCCAAGGAGAAACACCAATTGTCGTGATACCGCAGTGTCCACCACAGGAACAGCAGGAGAAACAGCAATGCAAGCTACCACCAACTTTCCCTCCTGTATCATGCCCTGAGCCTGTCCCATGCCCTCAGGAGAAACTACCATGTAAAGAGCTGCCGGAGCCAATCCCCGTTCCCTGCCCCGAACCAACTTCGTGTCCCCAGGAGAAGCAGGAGTGCAAGGAGATCCCTGTGCCGGTCCCTGTTCCCTGCCCTGAACCAACTCCGTGTCCCCAGGAGAAGCAGGAGTGCAAGGAGATCCCCGTGCCGGTCCCTGTTCCCTGCCCTGAACCAACTCCGTGTCCCCAGGAAAAGCAAGAGTGCAAGGAGATCCCCGTGCCAGTCCCTGTTCCCTGCCCTGAACCAACTCCGTGTCCCCAGGAGAAGCAGGAAGGCAAGGAGATCCCCGTGCCGGTCCCTGTTCCCTGCTCCGAGCTGGAGCACTGCTCTCTCTCAGAGAAGTGTCCACCCATCGAACAGCAACAAGTGAAGCAGCCCGTCCAGTGGCCACCGACGCAGAAGTAACGGGCAGATAACAAGGAAAGCCTTGAAGAAGCAGAATACCAGCCCAGATCTCCTCTGCCCCTGCTCCTCTGCAATTAGCAGTCATTTGCCATTGTCCTTTTATTCTCAGCAGAATTTAGCACAGCTTCCACCTCCACCCCCCCCATACTAATGCCAACATTATCCCATATTAACAACTGTATACTAATTGACACGTCAAGACTGTCAATGGATAATACAGCTCCAAGGGGTGTGGGTGGGCATGGATGTTTAACCTCCTAGTAGCCTGAGTCTCTACCGTCTCCCAATTGCCCCGCTGGTTCTCACAGACCGGGAGAGAGACCGAGAGTATGATGGCAGGCTGTAGCCAGGGCTTGAGAAGCCCCTACTCAAACCTAACCTGAACGCAGAGACCCCAAGCTCGCTGTACAGCCTTGCATGCTGCCTCCTGCTTTTCACGCTTCCCTCCCCAGCTCCCTGTACACGCATGTCATCTCCTGCCTTGCCTTTAGGGTTTTTGCCTATTAATAGCAGGATTTAGGGTTTGTGCAGAACCTACTAGTAACAGTTCTGGTCCATGGCAACAAGACTTCCTAGAATCATGAATCCATAGTGCTAAATATTTTAGGCAATACAAAATCCATTGGGCTAGAGGAAATAAAAAGATTTTTACTGCAGATCCATCAGCTCTTAGTTATCTCTTTAGCTGAATTGGAAGCTATTGGCACTTAGCACTTTCCTCAGAGAGCTCACCTCACATTCTCTAGGATCTACAAAGAGCAGCACAAGCCGAGAGTATTTATGGAAAAGACATAAGCAATTAAATCCATCCCAGACATATTTTGAAATAAATTAACCTCAGATGTGGCTTCCATCTATTAGACAGACTAAAGGAGGAGGTACCCAGTGCTATCTGAATTACACTCTGGAACATGTTTCACCACACAGTGTTGTTGCATATGCGTTTGGTACTTATCTCTAATTATTTTAGGCTGATATTGTATCCAAGATTTATTTCACTGTGAAAAATCAACAATAAAAATGACTTCGAATACTGAGTTCTCGAGACTTTTAATAGCTTCTGCTCATGAAGAAAGATGAAAAGGAGTCTAGGCTTGCAACTTGCAACACACAGTCACTTCTTAGGCTCAAAGCCAGGTGAAGCAGGAGTCAGAAACGCAAGTGCCTCAGCTCATGTCGAGCTGTCCTAATGGTCAAAAATATACCAAAACATATGCAGCCACTTGCTACGACCTTCGGCGTACGTAGGGCATAGGCATGTCTATAAGGCTGGTTGCAAGCACAAGCAAACAAGTTTTTCCCCACACAGCAAATGAGCCAGAAGCGATGCAATCTCATGAGCATGGCCCTGAACACGTCAGATGGATGTTAGACAGCTCCAACATCATTGTCTGATCACAGCATCACACTCAGCCCATGGCTTCTGCCATCTGCAAGACACCACTATCATATCACTCAATAACACTTGTAGTTATGATAGTTTTCCTCCTCTACTATATAGAGGAGTGGAAAAAAAAAATCAGTATTTCCTGCTGCAAAACAGAAACATTCTCATTCCCGTTTCTGATTGTTTTAAAACCAAAATTACTTATTCTGAGCAAGTGAAAACTTCCAATTTTGCTCAGGTTCAAAAACTTTCAAAAAACATTTTTCTGTCAGCAGTTATAGTACAGCTAGGACTCACAATTAATTGTTTTGAATAGATCCACAAGAATTTACTTCAGAATATTACACCTTGTAGAAAACTTTGTTTCATCAATTTATTCCAGTTCAGAATGAAAACAACTTGCAACATTTTATAATCCTTGGGTAAATATTCAAGGCCTGAGAACGTAATTCCCTGAATGGCCACACACCCAAAGATTGCTGGTTGTCCAAAAAGTGAAATAACATCATGCCAATGCAAAATAAAGTAATCCCAAGAGACTGCACAATATATAGCTGGAGGCCAAGCCTCAATCTTGCGTGCCAAGCTAAGCCCTGACATGGAAAGCACATCAGCCCCAAGCCAGCACGCGAGTTTGGACACCTGGGCAATAGTATTGCCCCAAAGCACCCTGAACTTAGATGGTCTTTCTACAAACTGGACCATTTTGTGTCCCCTTTTTTGTATTTGTAGTCTGCTTGGTCATCACTATTGATAGGCAGTTCAGGTTTGTAGATCATTTTCAAAACTGAAAGCCTTTTTTAAGAAGTGCCTATCTGAAATAAAAATATGGATAAATAATTTGATAGGAAAAATCTAGAAAGGGAATATTCATGGGTACCTTTGTATATGTATATTTAAAGGCAATTCCTGGGCTATTACAAGAAGCAGAAAAGAATGAATGACACTAATAAAGTGAAAAAATATCAAGAAACAGGTAATGCAGTTAATTATAATTTTATTGTAGCACCCCCTGAGGTAAAGATCAGAAGAAAATGGCCTCTGATTTTTCTATAGTTGAAGACGAATAAATCTTAGCTAATGAATTGCATCTCTTTGTAAAGTAATTTCTGCTTGCAAATAAAGCCAGTGCCCTGCAAATTTCTAGCTAGTCTGGCAGAGTTAGCACAGAGAAGGAGAGCTTGCAAGGAAGCGATTGCATCTTCCCGGGCACTTTTGTGGCTGTTGATGTTAGCACTACTTCTGCTTTGGGCATTGCTCCTGCTGCTGCTGCGGGATACTTTTCACGGGACATTTGGCTTGTCCTTTTGGGGGCTGGCATTGCTCCACACACTTCGGAAGACTTTTTTCCTGGCATTGCGGAGGTATGTGCTGCTGCTGTTTCTGCTGGTGGGAAGACATCTTTGCTAAATCTGGAAGGAAATAAGGTGCCATTTCAGTTAATTTTAGCCCTACACAGCTCTCCTTTCTGGATCTTATAGTTTCAGCCTGTTATTTAGCCTTGACTTCACAACCAAGAGGCTTTAAAAGTTAATTCTACCAGTGCAGGCATAAAAAAACCTCGGAAATCCCTTGCGATGCTGCTGTTCAGATCAAATCTCTGCTGGTGACTCCAGTTTGCTGTAGCTTCCCTGTGGTGTGTTTCTGGGCTCCCATCGTGTTTCCCCATATCCCAGTTAACCCGAGGAGCTCAGCCCTGTGCTGCGGCCTCCAAGCATGACTGTATATAACCCTAAAGGAGTATGAGGCAAGCACTGTCCTAACAAGGTTGTGATCCAAAAAGGTAAAACTTTACATAAGGGATAGGGGGAGAGAGAAAAAAAATGAGAGAGATTTTTCCTTCTTTTCCTCTGTTCCTCTGGTTTCTGAACATTTAAACTTTGACAAACTAAGAAGCAATAAAAATACTAGCAAAAGAAAACAGAATAATCTTAGTGCATTTACAATCAATAGAAAATATTGAAAATTGGTGCAAGAGGAGCAGAAAGCCAGTGATATTTCAGTCTTGCAAATGTTTTTGAAAGAAGAACAAGCTTGATAACAATCCCTTCATTGCAAGCCTCAGAGCAGGACTGTGTCTCCTACTTGAGCACATGTGAACTGCCCCACTAGAAATGATGCTACAGTTTTGCACAAAGAAGCGATACTCAGAGCCTGGGCATCCAGGAGATCATGGTGAAAGGCCTACGGGTGCTCTATGGATGCAAAACAAAATATCAGTGGATATCATCCTTTGCTACTCAGCACGCAACACTTGATGGTTATCCACAAAGGTTCATATCAGTCGCTGAAAAATTGTGAGGGCTGACAAAGGTTTGCTGGTCCAAAGAGCCAGCAAGCCACTGTGTCCAGAGCCTCAGAAAAACTCAAAATAACACAAATGAAAACCAAAATAAACTTAGGTCAGCTCTATGGAGGGTGCTAGGAACCCCATAGCAAGGAAAAAGGGCTGGAATTGCTACTAGAGAAATGAAATAAAGAAAAATCATCCCATCTCCTGAAAACAGAGCCCCCCCTAAGCCCCCATCTGGATAGCTGAATCAGCATAGAGAAACTCACCTAGCGTCTCTTGCTGTTAGAAAAAGGGAAGAAGCAGCCACCTGGATTAGAGAACCTCCTGAATGGAAGGCTTTTATACCCTTTCTGAAGTCTGCTCCAGCAGCTGATGACAACAGATTAACTTGATGACCAGAATCTTTCACAACCAGAACTTGCCCCACAAACACCTCCTTAGACTTGGATTTAAGTCACGGTCTGTCAGAGATGCTTCTGCTTTCAGGTGTGGGGGACTTGTTGATTTTAATGGGAGGCACACCCATTCTGGCAATAACTGGCTAATTCATTAATAATTCATACTGTCCTGACTGTAGGCAAAGATCCCACAACTGAACTCAGACTTCAGAGTCTGCTCTGATCCATTCAGGTGTCAGTAAAGCCTGTTTGCGTAAACTTGAGGTGTTTCCTGACAGGCTTTAATCCTTCTCCATCTTCCTTCCCCAAAGAGGGAACTGAAACATTTTATATTACCAATAAAATAGAAAGCTGCCCCCTTATTTTCATCAGGGTTTTCCTTGCCCTTTCTTTTAATTTCCCACTAAAGGAACTAAAACTTTCTATTTTCAAACATTGGGCTTGGCTTACTGAATTTGTGGCAGGATTTCTTTTTTCACAGGTGAATCCATGTTTCAGAAAAATTCCAATTGCTTTGAAGTTTTTCCAAGGCAGGAACAGGGAAAAATGTTTCAACCAAAGCATTACCTCTAGCTCTAATGGAAAAGGTAGCTACAAGCCTTCCCAGAGTCTTCCTCAATGCCATGCCCTGTGGGGCTGCGTTTGGCCCTGTGAACTACAGCCCGTTCTCCATTACAACCCCATGATCTGCTGAGAGACCACAGATGCAACTTCTGGTGAGTACAGGCGAGCAGAAGGTGCTAATGGAAAGAAACAAATCATCCAAAATCTCCACACACCCTGCCCTTGTTTGACTTACCAGGGGTCTTAATGACCCCAAGATTAACGAGGACCAGGCTTAATTGATTTGTTGTAGAGAGGCAGACCTTACCAATGCCCCCAAATTAACCACAGGTGTGTAGGACAGCAACACATCAGGGCTTTTGCAACATGCTCTCCTGTAAGTACAGGGACACGTGATGAGCACAAGGCAGCCAGCTGCCTCTGCTGCTTCCTCTGTGGCTTTTAGAGCTTCCCGTTCCTGTCTATCATTACTGCGTTTGGTGCCATGCTTGCAGCACAGAGGGAGAGAAGAGAGGAAATTTTAAGTGACTAACATGACTGATAGAGCTGGATGAAGAGGCCTTGAAGTCAGTCATGGATGACTCATCTACAAGATGGACCTCATTAGTAGCAGCACATGACCTCCTGACTAAGACTTTTTCCACACCTGAAGGTGAGCACTGATGCTGAGCACATGGCAGTAGCAAGCAGTTATTAGATATGTTATGGATGGCAGGATTCACTGATGAACCCCTGAAGGTTTGGGTTCACCGGTACGAATTAGAGATGGATGTTCCCAAACTTCCTCTCTTTTCTTTGCTGTTAAACAGTTGTGCGTTTACCCCTGTTTTGTCTATCTGAACTGCAATACATGTTCAAGTGCAAAATTTCTTTGCCTGACTCAGGCACACCGAACACCTTTGCCTACCATTATTCATGCTTGATGCTGTCACCTTTCAGTGTTGACAGCAATAACACAAAAAGGAATCTACTCTCTACACTTGTACACAAGGTTTCATTGCAGGCTGATTTGGTAACACTATTTACACACACCTAAATATAACTCTTTTCTCTTCTAGATTAATTGCCCTCCACCCTTGCCATAATGACATAGTAGGTGGATAGCAATTCTCTGCATCCCAGACATGGAAATTGTGTGGCCCTCCCGGAGACAGGCGTGAGCAAGTCACTGGCACAGCACAAAGACAATGGGAGCATTATCTCTGCAATGCAGCACCTAACAGGGAACAATGTGCCTCCAGACAATGGGCTTCCTTCAGGTTCAGAATTATGACTCCAAATAAAGAGATGTACGTGCAAGTGAATTAAAATATTATTGCACCAAGCAAACATTAATGAACCCAAAATGCCAATTACTCTATCAATCATAGAGGTGATATCTCCTCATTACAGATGGGGAACAGATAGACAGCAAGACTGAGATTTGTCCAAAGCCATACAAAGTGTTGGCAGCAAACCTAGGGACAAAACTGCAGTCTTGCAGGGCTTGCACTTGCTCCTGGACCACACAAAGATTCATCCCTTGAAGCCAAACCCCTTACTTTCTGTTTCTAGATAGTGAGGATTACGGGAAGAAAGAGATCATCAAAAATACCGTTTGGCCTCCATCTGATTTTTTTTTTTTTAAGAAATCATTAAAAACCCAGTAAGAATGTTTCAATATTTTCTCATTTGGATTTGGGGTTTTCTTCCACTTAAATTTACCTTTTAATTAATAACCTGATAATTAATTTTCTATCTTTGTTTTCCAGTAGGACAAAACTCATTTTCTACTATCTGTCAAAAAATATTGCCCATTTTTTGTTTACAGTGTTAGAAAACTGCTCCACGCTTTGGTCTCTGTGTTTATAGGCATGAGACCTTCACAAGCATACCAGCTTTTTAAAAGGAAAACTAAAGAAAGATGATCTTGGATCTGAAGACATGGGAATAAGGAGATGAATAAAAGACAAGAGGACAGATAATCCCATCGATGGTCAATTTTTATTGCTACACATACACATTAAAAGAGAAGATGAGAATTAAAGAATAAAATGGGAGAAATCTTCCAACACCAAACTGCTGACAGCTCAGCCGTGACAGAACATCTCCCTAAAATGCTCAGCAGTATAATCTTGGCCAATTGCAGTTACCAAGGAAAAGAGGTGCCGAGAAAGTAGTAGAAGTAGCAGCATAGGAAGCAAAGGCTGGAAACGTTCAGAGAAACATTTTCTAAGGCAAAGAGGGCAAGGGGTAAGCAGGTCAGGAGAGGTCTTGATACATTGCTGGTGGGTCTGTAACCTGCTTTGCACTGCACGGTTGCTTGTGCACCCATGGACATTGCAATGCAAGGCCCACACACCCGGGTGATCAGCAGGGACGAGAGCAGGTGGTAGCACATGGCTCCAGGCACACTGTCTCGCACTTATCCACGCACTTGGTGGCACACGCCTCCACGCACTGGGCTGGGCAGGGCTCCACGCACTTGGTGCAGCACTGGGTGACGCATGGCTCCACGCATTGGGTGGTACAGCACGGGGTTGCGCAGGGCTTCACGCAGACATCCACGCACTTGGGGGGGCAGACCTCCACGCACTGCGTGGCACAGGGCTCCGCGCACAACGTGCTGCAGGGCTCCACGCACTGGGTGGTGCAGCAGCTTGTGGTGCGCTGGGTGGCGCAGGGCTCGGCGCAGACGTCCACGCACTTTGGGGAGCAGACCTCCACACGCTGCGTGGAGCAGGGCTTCACACAGACGCTGCCGCAGGAATCCACGCACACCGTGCTGCAGGGCTCCACGCCCTGTGGGCACTTCACGCAGGTGGGAGGAGGCAGGCAGGGCTGTTTGCACTGCTCGTAGCAGGACATCTCGCTGGGGCACTGGCAAAGCTGAAGGCAAAGATAAGAAAAGGGACACAAAATGAAGATGCTCCTCATTTATCCCTGAGTCACAATTCACAGCATAGCTTTTAAAGTATACATAGCAATTAGCTACTGGACTGAGAAAAGGCCTACTAGAAAAATAGGCGTGTGTGGATTGTTTCCGGATTTAGATATGTACAAACTAACACAGACCGATTACTCCTTCCTTTCCTGGGAACCAGCAAGTATCACTGTTAGGAAGATGAGAGCCATAAACCTTGAATTTCATAGAAATGTATTCAGTTAAACTTGGTAGAAGCCTTGACATGAGAATCGTTTGTTTCCTTATTTTCTTAATTAAACCAGCAGGAGTTCCACAGCCTATCTTTTCTTCATCCTTTTTAAGTTCCCCATGAACACCATGGAGATCATCCCCATCTGTGTAGACATTGACCTGCTAATCCCAGAGGCTAAAGCCCAGAGACCACAAATTCAGACACTCTTCCAAATCCTCCAGCTTTGTATCATGGTACATCACTGGAGGTGCATTAAAATGAATAGGCTTATCCTTTCATGAGGGAAGGCTTGGCCCAGGGGTTGCAGCTCCTGTTTCCAATTCATTTCCTCATCTTGACTTCTCCCATATGTCTCCTACAATTTTGCCTTTAGGTCTCCTGCAGCTTCCCTCTTCCGGACCATGCTTATTCCCACCCATCTCTTCTGAAGTCCCAAGCCTTACTTTGCAACATCCAGTAATTTTTTTAATTTCTGAACTTAATGAGGTTTAAAAAAATTAATGAAGACAAAGTATGAAGGAGAGTGAAAGACAGTCAGCTTCTGCAGCAGTGACAGGACATTTGCAAGTTACTGAAGGAAGAAATAACTCTACATAAGAGTCGAATACCCTCTCCCCCATCCTAGGATAAATCCTGGGCCAAAGAGCAACACCTGAAGCAAAACTCTTCTGCAATCAGTAATATATTCTTTTGACTAGAACAACCAAGTAGCACAGCCATCACATCATTTCGTGATAAATCCAAGAAAGGCTTACCAGTTCACTAATGCAGATGAGTGAGGAAGAAGTCCAATGAACTGGTGTGAGCGTCAAAATGCCAACCTTTTTATATGGTTTGCGTGGCGTTACCTCCGGAAACGAGGGAGCCCAGGGGTATGGACACCTGACCATTAGCATCCTGAACAGGCTCCACCTTTACATGCATTACATATTTGTTTACATCCTATATTGTGATGGAAACCTTCTTCCAGGAAAATCATGTGATCCTCAGTAAATTCTGTTTCCACCTAATACCCAAGTCATGCAATTCCCAATTGGAAAGATACGGTAATTAAAAAGAATCAGGTACTGGATTAATTGCTTTTTTAAAAAGATTTAATATGCTCAGATATTTTCATCTCCTTATTTCTGTAAGTGTCTGAATGATACCTTAGGTTTTTCCAAAGCAGTTGGAATCAGTGACTATTATTAGGGCACGTGGACAATTGATATGATTTTCCATGAGAAATATTATGTCCTCAATCTCATGGTAAGAGAGACCTAATCCTACAGTGGGCCATCAGTGCTTTGACAGACTGTTTCTGGTTCTCCAGTACCTTTCTAACTATTAAAAACACCCAGCCCATTCCTCTCCAAGCTATTGGTTTATTGACAAAGTTCACATTTGGCAATGACAAGCTGGAGACAACTCCAGTTCCTGGAAGACCTCTTTAAGCCATTCAGTGCAAAGGAACGGGACATGCATTTTAAAGACTTTTCCTTCATTGCCAGAGCAGTGTAAAGGGCCTCAGTTTAAGTGAGTATTAGGCCCCGAACTCCATATTAACATATTAAAGCCTTTTCCTGATCACAGTATTTCACTCAGCTCCACAGCCCAGAAAATCTTCACTTCTCTGAGATGTTCCAATCATGGAGGTGGAATGCAATTATTTGGCTTTGTCTGGATGTGTTTTGTCATTCTTGCCAAGTCCTCCAATTAAATCATTTACACAAACACTAAATGGGCAAAAAAAAAAAAATCCCATTCAGCACGAGTACTACTTCCTGTTTACACAGGAAACCAGGAGTCCTGCTAGAGAATGACAGGCATGGGAACAGATTCGTTTCTAGTGTTTTCATGGGGAAACTGAAATTCCAAAACCCATGCAAGCTGAGGAATTTGTACTGCTTTTAACGTCCTCACAGTTCACGCTTTCTGCTCCTCTTCCTTTGCTGCATAGGGACACAAAGGTTGCTTTTTCTGCAGCTCCGTTTCATGCCGTGACCAGATACAGCATTGCAGGAGTGAGCCCTTTCCCTGCCCCCAAATTCAGAGATCGGCAGATGATGCAAAAAAGCAACCAAGCATAAGCAAGGCCTGACCCACGGTGCCACCCTCAAGCTGCTCCATCATCCCTTGGCCTCGCTTAGTAGAACAGGCAAGTGAGCATAGGCTCGATGCATGGTGTGCGATGTCTCCCCCAAACTCATGCATCTGCACTGGCAGCTTTTATACACAGCAGGACGAAATAGGCTCTTGCACAGCATAGTTTGCTTGTGTTAGCATGAGGAAGCGCACAACCACAACCTCATCAAATAGATCCCCACAGATTATCAAATGAATGAGCTCAGATATAGACGTGTTCTCCTCCTTGAACTGCCCTGCTGCACGATGCTGAGAAAGCAATCGCCCGTCAGCACCTCCAGATCCTCTTGCAGCAGCTGCCTCTCCTCCTTATCTTGCTCAGGAGTTTTTCTTGGCCTGGTGTTTGCACAGTTCATGCTTTCCTGGGGCTCTCGACTCTTCTCCAAAACCAGTGCCAAGGACTGGTCCCACAACTCCCTTTCTATAGTGGGTTATTGTGTATCCTATTGTTATATTTCAATAAGCAAGAAATTGTAACGACTTACAAGAAAATTGGGCTTTTTAGGAGATAGAAACTGATCTGCATTTGTAATATGTAGAAACATCAGACAGAACTGGATTATTATTCTTAATTGACCCTTATTTGTGGATCTCTATTATATTTATGAGCAATTTGGCCATTCGATTAATCCCATTAAGCTCAACGACTCAGAGCTCCACAGCAGCATCTTTTCATGCCCATCCTCCTTTGGCCAAAGGGCTGGAAAGAAGCAGTATTCCAAATCTGCTACTTTTAAGATCGATTTAATTAAATAGCAAAGAATAAGCTCTCTTGCAGAAGCAGAGGCTGGTGCGTCAGGCAACGCGTTGATGAAAAGAGCAGACAATAGACCAGAAAAAAAGTGTTTCCTGGAGCACGGGTGGGGAGAGACTGAAACCTCCCCTACCCCAACATCTGGCTGGCACTACCCAAGAGGAGCCCCTCAAATGCAGTACTCTGAGGATTAAAAGAATATTTCTGAAGAATGCAGTAAAAAGAGTGTAGCCAACACTTTCAACTCCCAATAATCCAAGAGAGACTTCTTATTTCATCACCAAAAGTTATCAAAGATGCAGGTGTGTCAAGATTGGAGCCAGGAAACCCTTTGAGCAGGTGCTGTTTGAGGCTGTTCATCTGGATTTCTGCGAGAAAGAGAGATCTAGTTCATAAACTGCTGAACACTTTGCTTTAAAAGTATGATGCCTGTGGATATATCCTTTGGTTTACCTAAAAGGCTAGTAAGAAAGCTTTCTTCCTCTGTGGCATCTAGCACTGGCCAGCATGAGGAATTTCATACTAGACCCTGTATTGGGAGAATTCTTGCATTTCGACTGAATGTGCACCATCCCATATAATACACCACCCCCAATTTGTGGAGAAAAGCTTTTTCATAGAAATCAAGGATTCTCCCCATAATTTCAGAATGGCAAGGCCTTCCCAGCCCACTCGCCTCCATTCTGTTACAGTAAATCTGAAAGTCTGGGGCTTCCTTATATCTGACTTTCCCATCAGATACCATGCACCAAGGCCAGCTTCCAGGGCAGGCCATGTCTCCAGGCTCTTGGGCTGCCTGTCCATATCTGACTTCAGAAATCCTTGCATACCTCGGATGTCAGGAGTCTGAGTGCAGAATGTAATTAGCCTCACATGAAAACATGTGGCTTGTCTCGTCCATGCCCCAGGGACAATTTGATCAAGTAATTAAATCATTACTTCTGGGACTGAGAGGAACCCCATTGCGGTGCTATCCACCTCTTTTCCTGTTTATGCAGGAAGATGAGTGTCCTACAAAGAATGATAAGTGAGCATCTGAATGCAATTACATCTGAAAAAGAGGAACTAGCTGTGGCTACAGTAAAAAAGTCATATATTTTAATTTTTTTGCCTTCTGACAGTAGTAGATATTTGCTCTGATTTCCTGATGCTTAAGAGTGGGAATCTGGTTTTCCACATTACCAGACAAACTAATGCCCTGATCCTTAAAGAATGCTTTTTAGACCTCGGCACATATTATGCAATAGAGCAAGAACAGTGGGCTTATTGACGTTTGTTCATCCTGAACTGCAATTTTCTTCAAAAGTATTATAGCAACTTGACAGGTAGTGTGTAAACGTTCGGGAGTCAGGGAGAAAGGGTCTCTGTTCCTTTTCCTGCGGCACAACCTCATGATGCCCACCCGGAAATGAAGTGTCTGTTCCCTGCTAATGGTCTCAGCCTTTTAAAATCTGAATTTCCTAGTTCATATGAAGGATTAAAGACAATGCAAGAACCATGCCATTGGAGAGATACTGTAGAGGAATAATTTAAGGGGAAATGTCATTTTTTCCACTTACAGTTTTTATTTCCCAGAAGATTGCTCTGTTTGATTTGGGAGCAGCAGCAGCGAAAACTTTTGCTTACACAGAGTCCTTTAGTGAGCTTTAAAGGAGTCTTGGAGTCAGGTCAGACCTCCACAGAGAGGCGATTAGGAAGCCTTAATTGGTTTGGTAGCTCTACTGTGTAGCATTTGTGCTTAGATAACGCCTAGAGCTCTCAGCTGGGACCAAGTGTGCATTGTGGCGAGCGCTGTGCAACCAACAGCAGGAGCCAGGCTCTGCCACAAACTGTTCGGGGACGAGGAAGGGAAACGGAAGAGCTGCCCGGGCCAAGTAATGTGCACGAGGCCAGCTGGCAGCTCGGCTCTCCTGAATCCGCGCGCACTGCGGCGTCCATAAGGTATGGTTTACAATGTCCCATTAGTGGTCAAACTCCTCTACCAGAAAAAGTGAGATGGTGCTAACTGCAGGTTAGTCACAAGCCTGGTGTCCTGCTGCATCTTCTAAGAACAGGCCAGTGGGTCCCTGCAAATGGAGCTGTGCCCATATCTGTGGACTGACTTCCTCCACAGTCTTCCTGCCTTATTCTTCCTCCTTTCAGCAGCTGTTGCCAAGTCTGATCCCACTCTTGTATCCTGCGCTGTCTCTGCTATGGAAACCTGCAGAGTGCTGTGCTTGGTAGGGGTAACAGCGTGACTTTACGTCCCAGAGGCTATTGCTCACTCTTCGGAAAGCAATTTGCAAACAAATTCAGTGCTGATGGGGGAAGTGCTTGGCTCCTGTCTGCAAGTTTTCATGGAGGGCCCCCAAAATTGTCTGGGACACCCTGCAAGTAGTAATAAAATTTCTGCAGAATTCAGCAGTGAATGAATTTATGTCAATCTCCCTGACTGACGAGACTCGCCCCATCACCACCAGAGACAAGGAAACAAAAGCTGGCTGCAAATGCTGAGATAGGGACCTCTTACGCATGGGTGACAAAGTCACAAGGGACAAAGCATTCTTCCAGACCTGCTCATCTTCCTCTCGCTAGTGGCTTATTTACCCATTGCTTGTAATGGAACATCTTGTCTCTGCCTGTGGGACAGAGCCTGAGAAAAGGCTGCACGCAAATGCCAGTGGCCCTGAGCATCTCTGGCTTCAGAGAAGCAATTCAGCAAATGGTTGGATTTTTCAATGTCTTCAAAACCATGGGAGAACAGTGCTTCCTCTTGACGTACAACGTATGCTTTCCCAGGAATCACCCACTGTATTGCAGATGTGTCCCGGGCCCCTGGCTAACATAGTCTTAGTCCTTCTCACACATTCCAGCAGTTGCTGCCACTCTAAAGAGATCAGTCTTTAAGGAAGAAATTAAAGGGAGAAAGTGCAAGCCTGTGGGAGTGGAAAAGTGAAGGAAACTCATGCAGAGAATTGATACCAAGATCAATAGCTTTTATTACTTCACATCTACTGGAAAATAAAAAGATGGAAAGAAAAAACAAATGGAGAAATTCCTCCATCCACATCAGTGCAGAGCAGAAGAATTACAGGATCGCTCTCCCAGGCATATACAATATTCCTGGGGGTGCAAAGTCAATTAGTTACGTGTTACAAGAAAGGCATTGTGCTTTAAAGAAATATAGCAGAAGTTATATAAAAATGTAAGAAAAAATACAGGAAGATTTCCCCTCTCCTAGGACAAGAAGGGAACTAGGAAGCAAAGACAAGAGGAAGAGTTAATTAGGACAGGGAGTCTGCAAATCATTTTCATCTGATCCTTGCATGTGTGCAGCGGCTCAAGGAGCCATGCATTTACGACGGCAGACATCTGCACAGCTGATGGCATAGACATGGGCACAGGCAGGGGTGCATGCATCCACACACTGGGAGGTGGCCTGCGTCACGCTGGCTGTGCCGCAGGAATCCACACACTTGGTAGCAGCCTGAACACCCCTGTAGCAGGGGTCCACACACTTGTTGGTGTGTTCAGTCACCTCCCCGCAGCATGGATCGGCACACGTAGTGGTGCACTTGGTGGCTTTGCCACAGCATGGATCCACACATTTGGTGGTGCATTTGGTCACAGCTACACAGCATGGATCCACACACGTGGTGGTACATTTGGTGACTTCCTCACAGCATGGATCCACACATGTGGTAGAACACTTGGTCACTTTGCTACAGCATGGGTCCACACACTTGGTTACGCACTTGGTCACAGCTCCACAGCATGGATCCACGCATCTGGTGGTGCACTTGCTGATTTCCTCACAGCATGGATCCACGCATGTGGTGGTACATTTGGTGACTTCCTCACAGCACGGATCCACAAATATGGTGGCACACTTGGTCAGTTTGCTACAGCAAGGGTCCATGCATGTGGAGACACATTTGGTCACTTCTCTACAGCATGGATCCACACACTTGGTGGTGCATTTGCTCACCTCCTCACAGCATGGGTCCACACACGTAGTGGTGCACTTGGTGGCTTTGCCACAGCATGGATCCACACATTTGGTGGTGCATTTGGTCACCTCTCCACAGCACGGATTCACGCACTTGGTGGTGCATTTGGTCACTTCTCCATAGCACGGATCTATGTATTTGGTGGTGCACTTCGTTACTCCGCCACAGCACGGATCCACACAGGTGGTGTACCGAGGGCCCACACAGCTGCACGGGTCCACACACCTGGCAGACTGTGTCAGGCCAACATTACCACACAGGTCCACATACTTGGTGGCAGCCTGAGTAACTCCACTGTAGCAACAGGGATCCATGCATTGAGTTAAGTGCTGAACGTTATAGACAGTGCCACAGGATTCCACACATTTTTGCTGGGGAAAACTCCTCAGCCAGAAGACAGCAGAGGGAAGGCAGGGCTGTTTGTATTGGTACTCATTTTGGCAAAACATCTCTGGGGGAGGGGAAAGCCTGCAAGAAGGAAAGGAAAATACATTGTGGGAAATGGAGATATTCAGCCTTCACAAAGTTATTTCATTCATTGAGTTAAACTACACTTTTTCCAATGAAATATGGAGCAATGTATTTGGAAAACAGCCTAAAATCCATAGCATTTTAGACAAGGTTGTAGCTGCTGCCTGCACAAACATTGCAAATAACTTCTTCTCAAAATGGGAAAGACAAGTACTGTTACTTGGACACTGTGAGATTATATTGCACGGTTTGGAGATATGACAGTGCCCACTGGTCCACAGCTCCCCTCTGTTTGGGATTAACTCCTTGATGTTACTTCCTGCTCCCCATCCAAAAAGGATGGGGACTAGGCTGATGATACTACCCCGTCCCCATGCAGCTCCTCAGCTGGACAACATCAGAGGAGGCTTCATGCTACGAGACTTTTGCAAGTGTTTGACTGCATCCCCACCTCTTCTGCAGAAGTCCTCCCAGCTCTTCTCATCCAGACTCTCTTCCAGGCATGGCTTGCCCTCGCAGCCTGCAAGTCTCCACTCCTTATCTTCCCTCCCACTTTTTTCCCTTTGAAGTCCTTGCCTTTTGATCCCTCGCAAACCTCATAATTTCCTAGTTAAAGCAGGGTAACAAAGTCACTGGAGAAGGAAGGCGGTTATGCCACTCTCAGCTACCCTGAGAAGCATCTCAATGGAGAAAGCACAGCAATTGCAAACCATATGGCAAACAGAACAGTAGAGAAAGATAGAATGAGTTTTTACCCTTGGCTCAGGTATTTGGTAAGACTCATATACAAATCTTGCTATGCTGAAGCACTAAGTCTTCTTACTTGCTTCTGCAGAACACAGTTAAAAAATAAATAGCCCCATCCATTGTGTTACTTCCCAGTAAGCCAAAAAAGACTTACCCAAATCTCTAACAGGAAGAAGCAAAGGAAATCAAAATGGTTTGAGAAACACTGCAATATGAACCCTTTTATATGATTTTAGTGTCCGTGTCTCCGGAAGTGAGACACCTCAGGGGTATGGAAATAAAATTTTTAGTAAGTCAAACCTGCTCTACCTCCAATCCTTAAATGACTTGCTTACATTATCATTTTTAATGAAACCTGGCCACTGAGGTGGTACACATGACACCTGATTCACATGTTTCATATGGGGGCGGGAGACCACAGAACTGGCAATGCAGCTAGAAAACAAACCTCACGGGGATTAATTTTTAATTTGATATGAGTTATTTTTGTACATTTTCTTGCACCTTCCTCTGTTACAGATGGGATAGGACTGTGTTTTGTGCTGCTCTTTTGTGTAATTTTCTGTATTCTCACTAATGTACAGCATCCTGCTCACTGTGAACGTTTTATTCTAATATCTAGTCAGAATTTCCCTGTTGCCACTTACAGTTGTTACCTCTCACCCTTTCTCTGGGCACCTCTGAGAAGAGCCCATCTTTTCCATTAATACCCCCTAGGTAGCAGAAAGCAGCAGTATTATCTCCCCTAGGCCCTCTCCTCTCTAGGGTGAACAGACCTGCGGGCCCAAAATTGGACACAGTGTCCAGATGTGGTCTCCAGTGCCAGATAAAGGTGAATATGCACTTCCCTGGAGCTGTCAACTGTGCTCTTGCTAAGGCAGTCCCGTCCATGGGAGCACCCATGTATTGTGGCCAGCTTCACAGCAGCTCTGTACCTCAGCCAAATACAATACTCCTGTGCAACTGAAATTGGTTAGATTTTGGCAGTAGGGCAGTCAGGGATGACATCACCCTGTTTACGTTAAGACATTTAATTTCATTTAGTTTGTTCCAGAACTTAAAAAAGCCCACCTCTTGCACTGATGCCCCAAGGGTAATGAACTGTCTGTGCTTGGTGCAGTCTGCAGTCTTGGCAATGGGTGTTTTTTGCTTGCTGTGCTCACAGCACTTCTGTGCAGTCCAGCTCGCAACTGAGCTACGCCGCTCGCAAAAGATAGCAACGTGTCCTTGACTGCAGCAGTACGGAGTCACCGCTTTCTGCCCGCCACAACTGTGGTCAAGGAAAGACGCTCTCAGCTGAATTTCCTGTGTTAGAAGAGAGAAGGGAGAGCTAACAAGGGCAATCCTCGTACAAGATCAAAGACTCTCAAATTTACTTCTCTGCTTGCTCTGAACTAGCCCCAAGCCACTCATTGACACAAGCATCGAACCCACATCACCTGCATGCAGAGATGAGGGCATATATCACCCAGAGCCAAGAGGTGTTTTTGTGTTTGCACACTCTCCTACCTGTAAATGTGCTCTTGAGCATGGTGGTCTCCCATCATAAATTATGATGGTAGAAAGTTATGCAGTGGCTTTTGGTTATTTTAATTGAAATAAATAAATTTAGCATGCGTGACCCACTTGCATTACCAAGTAATTTGAATTAACCCTTAGTACAATGCAGTTGAATTTGGTAAGCCGGTGGGCTGAAGGGAAAAGGGTGATGGTTGCTTCTCCTGGATCTGCTTTTCCAGGGAACAACTGCACAAGGATAAAGGTAACATCATGGTGATGGAATATCGTGTTGCTCTTTAGTCAGAGCTTTAGGAGAAAATGTAAAACATCATGAGACTAGCGATGATTTCATAAAAGTTTCCAAAAGCATGTCAGGATCTACTACCAGGAAGACCAGATCTGAATAGGACAGATGCAATGACAGAAATAGGCCAGATTTGGCTAAAAGAATCCCCCAATCCCACATCCCATTCTGTCTCTAATAGCACACATGATGTGTTGGACGTGAAGATGTCATACTGTCATTGAAAATCTGACCCATGACTGTCCGAATATTTGATGGTAAGTTGAGAATCCATTCATTTCCCAAATTCTTCTCTGACATCAGCACCACTGAAAGGACACGTGAATTTGCAGACCATCTTGGCTCACTCAAGGTTGTAGCCACGGAAATAGCCAGTTTCCATTAAAAACAATTAGCCAAATAATCCATCATGGGACAGAGGCAGAACAGGCCTGGGTTAGCAAAGCGTAGCTTGTCTGAGCACCTGGGGCACCTCATCTCTGGAGGCCAGCTCCTGAATGTACACCGCAGAGCCCAGGTTAAAGTTGCTGTGTCTGCTTGTTCTCTTTATTTGCTACCACTGAGTCAGGTGAGTATCTTCTGGCTTGTACAAATCTGAGCCTATCTACGGGGTTAAATTTCTACTATGTGCTCATATAGCTTACTGTTACAAGCTGCATGAAGGAAATTGTTTATTTGCCCTTGCACCTCATTGGTGATAAGAGTTTAAAAGAGTAACCATAATCTTCATTTGCTGTAATTCCCATGGATGTTCTGCAAAATGTTTTGTTGTCTCAGCACTGGATTTAGTGGACTAATGTACGACCTAGCTCTTGGAGTGCCTACACTGTGGGCAGGAGCCAAAACTGCTCTGCATTTAGTTATCCAGCTTCATTCAAGCAGCAAAGTGACTACAGCACTGTGTACAGCCAAGGTCCCAGGTGGGTGTGCCAAGCCCCACACTAAACCTGGGCAGCTCTGCCTCTACTTCTACCTGTTGGGCTTGTTGCTGCCTTTAGCAATGCTAAAGGTAGGGTAGTAATAGCTGCACCTCTTGCAGCCGCTGGGAGATGGGTATTCCTTGCAAGGGAGTATCAGAGCAAGAGGAGGTCTAGAAAAGAGAGGGGAATAACCCAAAATTTATAATGCTACTGAAAATGTTAACTAAATCCACTGCTATCTGGCCAAGAAAATGCTCTTAGGGTGAAATTGTTTGGCTGAAAACAGCTTTTTAGACAGGAAAGTTGGATTTAGCAGTTTATGCAGAAAAATAGAATGACCAAACTCTTCATAGGAAGTGGCTGCAGAATTTAAAATAGCGGCAAAAACTTCTCTCCTTTCCTTTTTTCATGATCAAATTGTGAAATAAACAGCAAGTGTCTTGCTGAAAAATTCACCAGCCTAGAAAATGAAGGCTCTGATGCTTTGCATTAGGAGAGACCAAACTGTTCTTTTTCTTTCAGCCTTGCCTGCAGTGCAGAGATGTCTCACCAGTGCCAGCCACCCTGCCTGCCACCCGCTGCCTGCATGGGGCTGGCTGCACACACAGACACTTGCCCATTGCAGGGTGCCACAGAAGCCATAGTCACCCACTCTATGCATAGTGTGCACTCCTGTCCCAAACTGCCTGTTGGGGTGGGTGCCTGCCCGTGCCAGGGTGCAGCCACCTGCCTGGGCGCTTGCCCTGCCACTGTTCCCATCTCTGCGGGCACCTGCTGTCCCGACTGCCCCGAGCACCCATCTGCCTGGGACCCCTGCGTGCCTCCATGCATCACCACAGGCGTGTGTCTGGCAGCCATCACCTGTGATGCCCACCAAGGCCGGCAAGGGACCACCTTCCTCCTGCAGCCCGCAGCCTCACCAGTAGAGCCCTGCTGTCCTCAGGGCATGATCACCTGCAACCCCTGACCAGATAGGTGTTTCATCATCCATGTGGATCCTTGTGCACCTCCAAGCACAACCTGCACAGAGCTGTGCATGCCACAGAGCATGGCAGCACCTGGGGAAACCGGCTCTCCCCAGCAGGCACCCAGCTGCCCCACCACCCACACTGCTGTCATTGTGGAGCGGTGCCTGGCGAGGTGTCAGAACTGGCTGCAAGGCAAGAAACAGGGCGGCAGCCACCAGCATGCAATAAAGAGAGATTTTCCTGCACAAATGGGATCTCCTTCTGGTGGTTCTCTTGATTTCTCATTTGTATTAAGAGAGAAAAAGATTTCATGGTAAATAAAAAAAATAAATAAATCGGCTCTTAATTATGACTCTTATTTCTATTGCATAATATTAAATACAATAATAATAGCAGAAATGTAGGCAATGCAAGTAATTGCATTCAGAGAGACACATTTCATCATCTTCAAAATTTTACTTCCACATACAAATAACTACTTTCATAAGTCTTAAATTCAGTTAGGATCTTGTCCTTGGGCTTTCTATCCTCTTTTATACAGGTCTTTTAGGTTGAAATTATTATGAGAATATTAAGAAAAGTAGCTGAAAGGCATCATTTTAACACAGTTTGAGAAATGTCTTTTAAGGATCTATAAAATAGCAGGAGGCATTGGGGGGTGAGGAAAGAGCAAGCACTGAATAGAGCGAAGTCACAGAAGATGCCAGGAGAGGAGTAATGCTGAGGGATGGATGCCTCGTTGTTGCAATCCATCAACAGGCTTCCAGTTGAAGCCTGGGTTGGACTCGGTGTAATTAAAAGGCTTCATACTCCTCAGGAGCAGCAAGGAGCCTTTGCTCATTCCCCCATCGTGTAATAGCATTACAAAGGACTGAGTTATATCTCTAGATATTAGCAGTAGCCTGATGCAGTAGATGGATAAAGCTTTAAAAAAACTGTAGAAAGGCCAGAGGGAGAAGGAAACACCAATTATTCTTGCATTTGCCTGCAGTGTAATTGAGATATCATCTGCCGTTTCTTGCCCAGCTGCTGCTATCGCGTTCAGTGCCGGCGTTTCAGGGACAGGCTCCCATCCGCCATGGGGTGCTGGGGCAGGTGCTGCGGTACCCCCAGCCACAGGGGTTTGCTGCTATAAAACAGCCCCCCGCAACTCAGGTCAGCCCGGAAAAATGATTAGAAGCAATGGAGGCATCTGCAAAGAACCGCTCAGTGAAAGTCATTTTTATTGAATGATTGCACATCATTCTCCACGTCTTTAATGTCTTCTGTCAGAAAGGATTTTCCACCTCCATATGCATATCAAATCATGTCTGCATGTTAGCACTGCGTGTGTGCATTCAGAGAGAGATGAAATGAGTCTTTATATTGTAGCAATATTTGCAGCACACTGAACTGAGAGAATAAATCTTCATGACCTGAAAAGTTTGTCAATTATTTCCTTCCTCTTTGCTTTTTTTTTTTTTTTGGTAAATAAATCAACAGATATCATTCCCAAGACACTACACCAGATTATCGTGCCTAGAACTACATATATTATCCATTATGTTGCAATACAACTCTGCTGTGAATTAGATTAGATCTGCAGTATTAGACTTTTGAAACGCCTGTAAATCAAACCTTAGTAAAGATAGCCTATAGTAACATAAAAATGACTACTAAAAATGAAGAAGTGAAGATGATAAATAGAGGAATATTTTTTTCTGCATTCCCAAACAGGCATTCGCAGAAGTCAGACAAGCTCCACTCACTGTTAAAAGATACTCTTCTGACACTGTCCTACATAAATCATTGGGCTCTCCCACATAATCTCAATTACAGAAATCACTTACCACCATTACACACTTGCATTTACGGTTATGCCAACACAGTGCACTCCATCAGGCATGTCAGACGTTCAACCATCCATGTACTGATGTTCAGAGTTTGTTGGCATTACCCTGGGTGCTTCCAAGTGCTTAGCAACGAGTCCTAGAGAGAGTCATTTCCTCAAGTGTAGCCACTGCTCAGCAGGCAAAGAAGTGAGAGTTTCCTGTTCCTGAAGTTTCAGCAAGTTAGAGGTGTTCATCTAGACCAAGTTGAAGATTTCTGTAGCTCTTTAAAGGACTTCACAGTCTACCCAGGGCTATAAATACTGGTGGCTGCTCGTGTTTTACAGGAAAACTAAACCTGAAAAAGCAATTTTATTTTATTTTTTGGTGGGTGCATTGACTGTAATTTCAGCAAATGCTTCTCCAGTCAAGCAGACTGGGGCAGAGATCATCTCTGCAGTTAGGCAGCAGTGTACTGGCCCCAGGAGGCAATCCTAGGCCTGCAGCGCCAACGGCAAAGCAGCAGGGCAAGAGACAGTCATTTCCTCAAGTGTAGCCACTGCTCAGCAGGCAAAGAAGTGAGCAGCTCCAGCTAGAACCTTTCCCTGGTCATTGCTGTCTGTGGATGTACCATGCTTGGGTCTTAAAACCCACAAATAGCCTTTTCCTTGCCTTCTCCCACCTCCTCGTTCCTGTGGATGGTCTCATGCCCCCTCACGGCAACCTCCTCCTCCCCTCACTCCCGGCATCATTCCTGCCTTGTGATGGCCTTGTCATTAGCACGGAGTATAATTGATAGAGCTGGAAGAGAGGCATCAGGTGTGACTGTGACATTCCTGACATATCAGCTAGTAATTTACCTTTTCCTACAGAGGGGAAGGAACCATCCAGTCTGGTTTTGGCTGAACCTTGTTTACAAGCAAAAGGCAAGAGCCTTATTTCTCAGGCACAGCTGGTAATGCTGAGAGCTCCACACAGACATCTCAGGCCAGTTTTCACAGGATGGGAGCTCAGACTTTCCAAAACACTTCTTAAGTCACGTTTTTCAAAGCGTCGTTTTGACCAGGCAGAACTGGTTTCGGCTGTCTCTCCTGTGCATCCAATAGCATGGTAAAGGGAGAACTGATTGGCCCTTCCTCCAGGGGCAGCATTAATCACATCACTTTCTATCTTCATAAAACTCACAGGGATTTAGCACTGGTTTGAACCATGCCACTGCATCAAATTTGCTTACAAATACTAGGTTTGAGAGTAATTAGATTTCAAGTGTGAGCCTCAAAGCTTTACTTCTTGGGAAAGCCAGGATGAAGAAAGATGAACCCCAAT